TCTTTGGGCCCATTATGGTGCTCTAGTAGCAGCTTGCAGTTAGCTACCATATGGTCAAATACTCCCCAGTGAAACTTTATTATTATTATTATTTTAATATTTTTCTGGGAAGCAGAAAGGATCAGAATAGGACTGCTAGACGTGTTTCATCCTCTTCAGCCTATCTGACTTCACAATATGAGGAGCAGTGGTTTGTTTTTTCAGAAGAAAGCTTGAGAGGCAGACACAGAGGTCTAGAGCTAGATGGAGGAACATCCATTTCTGTAGCGCTGCAGGAATGTAAGCATTGAAGTTCAACATAGAGGAACTAGCCAGCAGACAGGTGGAAGTGGGGTTTTGTGGATGTCTGTACCGAATGTGGAGCATGGGGAGAAAACATCTGATAAAAGCTTCCTATTCAGTAAGAGGCATGCTCATAGACTTCTGTTCCTCATCACCCTGTATTCGAATGTGGAGCATGGGGAGAAAACATCTGATAAAAGCTTCCTATTCAGTAAGAGGCATGCTCATAGACTTCTGTTCCTCATCACCCTGTATTCCTTTTCCCTTGATTGCTAATTAGTTACTTAAAATTTACAGGAGCACCCTTCACTGTGGCAATGCTGAAATAATCAATATTTGTTGTTGTTTGTTTGTTTCTAAAAGGCAATGTCATAACCCCTGTTGAAGGTGGAGGGCAGTAGTCCCCAGATAGTTGCTGGGGGGTTTCATTTTAAACTCTGGGGTACAGGAAGAAGTGATGCATTTGTGGGCAAAATAAAATATTGGGAAATAAAATTAATTTATTTTTCTGGATGCAGGACAATAGGTATTTGCAAACAGTTCAGGCTTGCCTAGTCAAATCTGCTGAGCAGAAAGCAGGAGCTCACACTGAAGTAGTTTCACCTTTGCCCTCCCTTTAATCCTGAGCTGCCATATTTCCCATTAAACTTTCTTCACTCTGCTAATGCCATTTCTGCACTGCCACTTCCAGTTCACAAAACATTCCTGTTCTTCTGAAACTCCCTGCTGTTACGTGAACTGCCCTGGTGATTAAACATTATTTGTTTGTTTCTGTAGCAATGAATGTTGCATTGCACTTGCAATGAAATTTCTGTGCAAGATGATGTAAAGCATTCACTCGTGCCAAGCAACCTACATTTGAACTAATGCTATTACGATAGGCGTTTGAATCAAAAGTGACAGGATACATGGTGTTACAGGGGAAAAGCCAAAAAGGAAAAAGAAGGGAAAAAAAAAAAAAAGCATCACAGGGTCCTGTTAGCCCAGCAGCTAGGCAAAAAGTAAAAAGTCCTACAAAAGACCTCCATCCTCCATCATTTACGTGTTATGACTGAACTCAGTTATGTAGTCTGAATGAAATGGATGGAATAACAAGAAAAAGACAATAAAAACTTAGAATGTCTGTCCCTCTTAGGCTGAGATTTAACTGTTGTGGCAGTACTGTTTTTCATTGTTTCTATTATAGTATAATCCAGTTGACTTCAGGACTCTATCATGGTAGGGACTGTCTCTGTATATAGTGCCTGAAGTGAAGAAGTTTGCATTTTTTGCAAATAAATGTATGTTTCTAACAGGACAGCAACTAAAAGTAGATAACAGATTCTTTGTGGAAAAAAAAATAACCTTTCTAAACTCATAAAAAATAAATAGTAAAAAAAAAAAAAATCTTATTAAAACAAGCAATGGAAAACAAAACAAAACAAACAAACAAACAAAAACAGACAAAAAAAGAAAAAAAGTTTGACTAGCTCTCAACATAACCATTTCAGATGCCTAAAAATATTGTCTGGGACTGATTCTTAACTCATCTGCAGAAATATAAAATGGAATCTCACTATATTTGAGAAATGTAAACCAGTGATTTAGAACCATAAAATTGGTGTTAAACACTGAGTTGGTTCTGACTTTGGCATGATAAAGAGCAAAACTTTTGAGGCTTCTTTATCTCTAGGCATTCCCTAAGTAGAAGAAATATCAAAGAGATGATTCCCTTGAAGTTGTTATATATGATTTTAACATAATCTTTAACAGTCAAATCTTTGGGTCTGGGACAACACACATGTAATTAAGAGCCACGTTTTATTGTTGTGTGTCATTAAAGGAAAGAACATTTCACTGTTAGCATTGAAGTGCAAACTTGAATTTGAAGACCTGCATCCTGTTCTCTGCTTTCTCTTTACTTTTCTGTCCATAAAATGGGCCAGAATCCTTCGTCATGATCATACTGCAGCAGCTCACTAATGGAACATTGGAGTGCAGGACAGTCAGAATATTACTCATATCTCCTTAGAACTGCTGGGTACTTCTGCAATGCTGTTGAAATATTATACTTGAAGAAGTCATTACCTCAAAACCTTTTTTCTTGTCGCTTTCAAATGGGAATATTGTGTTCTTGCTAAAGAAATGGACGTAAATAGAGAAACATATAGAGCTGAAGTTATTCTTTTCTTCCCTGCCAATGCATTAATTCCTGACAATAAAAGCCTGTATTAGGTGAGTGCTAAAAAAGCAGGTACTATGTGAAAGCCCGTAATATTGAGGAGAAAGGATGTTACGCATGACAGTATTTCTGCCAGGTCTGTGGATGTCATTCCAGGGACAGCCCTTGAGGCATATGTGCTTCATAAATTGCAGGGACAAAAGAAAAAAAAAAAAAAAAAAAAAAAAAGAACCTTCGCCAAGGGTTGTGGCAGGGTGGAAGGGTGGAAGATGTGTGAAGGGAAACCCTGTGGAGTTGTGTGTGGCTTACCTGGAGTAATTTATGCCTGTGTTCTCAAGCATAAATTGCTTCCTGCCTCTACGTTTCAGGAAATGCCTTTAATCACCTAATATGTGACTTGGTGTGGGTGAAGAACTGGTAAACACTGTCTCTTCAGAGCTTCAGGGTGCTCAAAAAATGCCTTGGTTCCCAGACCTGGGCTGGCCCCATGTGCTCCATTCAAAATCAGCCCTTGTTGACCACTAAATTAAATAAAAAACTCTTTTCCTTTATTGCAGCACCAGAGCTTCCTATATCCAACAGAAGAAATAACTAATTGATTTCAGTATAGGAAACAAAGAAAAAGTCTGTTACTGCTTTTATTATTTTATTCAATTTCAATCATGTTAAAATGCCCATGATGAAAAACCTCTGACAATTAATTGTACAAGATCTTAACAAATGTAAACATAACTTGGGGGAACACAGAAATGTGTTGTTGTTTTTTTTTCTCCTCTACTATTTTCCAGTTTTATCTAACAAGTGTTGTTTGTAACAGCAGAAGTGAAGAAGAGAGGAGAGGAAAAGAGAAAAATAAATAAAGTGTTATTTTTGAATGGACATCTCCCCTTAAGTAATTTGTTTTAAAAATCTGGGACATATTTTGTCTCAGTCTGCTGGTGAGGGGTAGCAGAAGAAAAGAAGTTATCTTAAGACCTCAAAAACTGCAGAATCAACTTTCAGCTTGGCAAGATTTTGTCTTTGTGGAGAAGACTTAAGGATCAAAGTAATTATCTTTGCTATTGCATTTTAGTTCAGTGTAGAAAGCTTTCATGTTAGATATATCCATTTTCTTTGTATGTAATTATGGCCCACAATAGATCTATCTCCTACCAAACCACAGTTCATTTTGAGTGATTTCAGTGTGTGCTGCAAAGGAATAAGTTGTCTTTCTGTGCTTTTATTAATACTATAGAGATAAGATGTGCCTTGTTAGGAAGGTCTGCTGGGTTGAACTAAGTTTAGTCCTTTACATTTTTATTTGTTTGCTGAATTCCATTTTTATGCGTTATCTCTCCTCCTTGATTCTGATAGTTCTGTCTCACCGAGATATCACAAAGAGGACTTGCAAACCGAGCTGCAGAGCCGGCTGTTGCTGGAACAGAAAATGCTTCATATTTGGAAAAGAATGTGAAGCATGTCCAGGCTTTATTGTTCTTTTATTTTTTGCTGGTGTTTGATTTCTCTGATTTCTTTACTTTTGGTTCCCTAGTGCATCAGTGTAATATTGATACCCTTACCTAAGCATTTAGTTGTAGGATTTGATGAGAAGTGATTCGTATAAAGCGAATTTGTGCTGAGTTGGAACAGACTCCTTCCTATCTGAGGCTCTGTATTGCTGGAAAGTCCTGAGTTTGCTGTTCCAGGGACACACCACAGGAGTTGTGATTTCACAGGGCTGCAGAGATACCAATGTTAACACCCTGCATTTAGTAAATAAAACTTTGCGGGTGGGATTTTGGCCCAGCTTTCCTCATATCAGTGTTCCAGTGGGTCTGCTGGAAGCAGAGCTTAGTGCAGCACCAGAAAATGCTTTTGAAAAACTCTGTTTAGTCAAAAGACGTCTGGGAGGGAAATTCTTGATACGAGTTGTATACATTTTTGTGAGATAAAATCCCAAACATTAGCAGGGCTTCAGCCAAACTGAGTAAATGGGTTACCATGCTTATGAGTTATCCAATTCCTCTATCATTTTATTTGTAAATCCTCACACATTTTGTCTGACTTTTGTCATGTTTTCCCACTTCACAGTGATGGCTTTTCCCTCCAGCAGAGAGGAGGGCTGTGGGACCGATTACTTCAGTGTGAGTGAGGTTATGTTTACACTAGAAAGCTTGCTCTTGCAAATTTTATCGGTCTGCAACAGTTGACTCCACCATGTGCTCAGAAAACAGAAATTTTGTGGCTTGAACTGATGTGCTCTCTTCATGCAGTCTCCTGGCTAGTTAGTGAGCTGTGGTCATACAGCACAAGTGTTCCCCAAATTGCTCCCTTGCATTGTATCCTGCAGGATGTGCTTTTCTGTGGTTTTACTGTGAGGCACCAGAGAAGAGCATAGATTGGTGGGAACAGCTTTCCACGTTCTGTTTCCATTGCTACTTAAAAACTCCAGCACCCAGCAGATACTACTCACATCTGGGGGCTGTTTATAACTATGCTACCTAATTTTCCTGGAGCTAGAGAAATTTAATCAACTAATTCTGCTGCAATTGAGCTGATTTTTTTTTTTTTTTTCCAGAAGAGAAAGTAGATGCTGAGTGGGAGCACCTCATGAGTGGTAGAGGTGACGGAGCCAGCTCCCTGACAAGTCTTCTAGCACAAAGCCGTACCTCTAAGGCTGATAAATGAGGTGTGAAAGCACACTGATGTAAACCAAAACTGCATGGAAGACCTGACAGCAACCGGGAGGATGGGCAGTAGAGAATTTTCTCCAGCCTTCCAGAGCAGGCCGCTGGTATGTGGTACTTCTGCAGTTTTGAGGCATAATTTAGTTCTTTTTCTTTTATGTCTTACACTGTGAGGTACATGTTGTACTGAGAGGACCATGTTCAGCGTGGTGGTTGTTACAGAGGAAGGCCAGCAGTGAGTATTTGGTGACAGCAGGGTGTGAGAGAGAGGGCTGAAGAACCTCTGGAGGCCAATGCTGAGAGGGGAAAGCCAGGCTTGGTGTGCTCCATGTCCACGTTGTCCCCCTGAAGCAGGAGCAAGCTGCCCTGCTATGAGCCTGGGGCTCCTCACAGAGCAACTGAGCTGTCTGAAGCCAGGGATTGTTCCTGTATCCTGTCAGCAGTTTGACTTGTCTGGCCCTCTCTGAGGCCAGCAGTTCTCATGCTATTACTTCTTGCCACGTGTTACGGAGTATTTGGTGATGGGAGAATGAAACAAAGAGTCGTCTGTTGGTTTTCAACAGGAAAGCACCAAGCAGAATCACTGAGGATTGCTGAAGCTGAGGAAAATATCACTTTACTACTCTGCCGTAACATGCGCTTGACTGCTGCTTATTTTTAGTACTTGTATTGTGTACATACCTGAAATATTTAGGATGGTGTTGGTCATGTCAAAAGGAAGGAAAAAGGTGTTACAAAATATCTACTAGGTTCTCATGTATTTATGCTGAACTTTATCACACATTTTTATCATGTGCAAAAAAAAAAAAAAAAATCTTAAAAAAAAAAAATAAGTCAATCCTAGCAAAGAAGAGAATCTGTGGGTTTGAGAGTTGCCTGTTAGCTGCTCTTGCACCACTGAAGTGCAAGCTGCCCACTGAGCCAGTTTGTTTACATGTGGCCATGGTTATATTTTTATTGACATGCAATGGAGCAGCTAAGGACTGACTGAGTATCTCCTGGTAAACGCTGTTAAGACCAGCTTAGAAAGAGATGATGTTGCAGTGATCCAGAAATGCTGTACAAGGAGAGAAAATTCTTCTTTTTTGCTAGGAAATCATATCAGACAAAAGTAATTCTTTACGAAATAAGTTTAACTCATAAGCATTCCCCTTAATATCCTCTGCGACAGCTTGATCTATTTGGAGGAGGGCTGTGGGATATTAGTCTTGAACTTAGTTTTGTGTTTTTCAGTGCACATGTACTGGGGACTTTCAAAAAAAAAAAAAAAAAAAAGCAAGGAAGTAAGACCTCAGACTAAAGTCACTAGTGAGTTTTTCAAGAAATATATACCTTTATGTCTTTATGTAATTTATTTTCTTCTACTAAGGGATCTAGATCATTATGTTTATTAATTTATAAAAAACATTCCTTGTATATTTCTGTTTTATAACAGTGAAAGCTCTAGTAGATGTCTTGCTCAGGCACTTGCTGTATAGCTAGGACAAGTTTTTCAAATAAAATACACACTCCAATCTTCTTGCCTTTATTTCTCAACTGCACAAAGGAGTGCTGTTTTTAAAGAGGATATGAGAGAGGACAGATTTATATGTTGTATATGGGAAAAGATGTTAAAAGCGTAGGATTTTACCTAAGTGCCTTTCCCATCCTCATTTGCTGGCAAGTTTCAGCCCAGTGTATTTCAATTTCTTCTTTTCTTCCTGTTCCCCAGAGACTCTTCCATCCCACTCCCACATTTATAACAATACTCAGCATGAATGAGGAGATCACACCAGAGAGGAGGAACCACTCCCAAATCGGAGTGGTTACTGATAGTCTCCAGAAGCTGTGTAGATTGTGGTTCCATTTCACCACGGTCCCACCCTTCTCTCCCTCATAGCTGCTGGTGTTTGTGCTCCTTACAACATCAGAACTGATGTCCTTATTCCCCTGGAGGGTCTTGGAGGGGAGCTGAAACAGCCTCTTGTCCACATAGACCTGGTATTTATCCAAGAGCATAGAGCTGAAGAGTTGATCTCTGTGGATAATTAGCCCCCACCACAGCAAGAGGCATTTCCAAAAGACTCAGGAAATGTGTGTGGGTGTCTGCAGGCTGAGTCACTGGAATTGGGGGTTAAAAATCCTGTTTGGCTTTGTCACCATCATGGATACAAACGTTGCACGTGACTCTTTCTAGAGGGCTCCTGGGACAGAGTACAGCATCTATACAGTGTTGTATTGATAACCATGTGCTTCCTGAGGCCTTGTGCTCTTAAAGGAATGAGATATAATCAGGTTGAGAAGAGAAATTTTGCCATTCCCTCAAATTTGTCTGTTGGGGCCTCTACGCCAGTTGTTAAAACTTCATGGTGTGAATCTGGGCTATGAAAACAGTTGTCTTTCTGCTAAATGGGGTTGAGAGGATCGAGTAATTGCAAGTAGGACACAGCAGTGCATTCTGAAAAAGTGAGACGCATTCGGCATAGCCATCTTTTAGTTTATAATGAGGAGGCTCATTGAGTTAGTGTCATACAGTTATTGTTTTGATGAAAATATAGTTAGATTTTTTCTTTTTTTAAGTTTTCTTATACTTCCTCGGATATCTGATGTGTCTATGTATAAAAAAGACAAAAATCTTGTTTTACCTGCCCACACAGAGCTAGCTGCAGGTATGTGAAATAGGTGGTGTACGCAATGTGACAGCTGATCTTTATTTTTCTTGCCTTTTATAAACACCCAAAACAGGGCTCCACTGGTTTATCAGTGCTAAATATAAATTCCTGAAGTTGATATATCTTGAAATCTTCCTTGCGTCAGCCATTTTTCATGAGAAAAACAAGTGTGCAATCCAGGTGTAGTTCACAAAAATGTCAGAATTTATAGCCTGACTATATCTAATGTTATCTTGTACAGGTGGATACTTCCAGCAGCAGTAAAAATCTCTGATTAATACTCTAGTCAGCTCTTATTTTGAATTGCTGATGTTAAGATGAGAAGCTAACCTAAAATGATTTAAAATTTAACTTTTCAAAGTGTTCAATTTAGGATTTGCATTAAGTCCCTGAATAAAAGGACTCTTTCCACTTACTTCAGTAGGCTCTGGATAAGGACTACATAATACATGGCTCTTAAGGTGTCTTTCCCTGTACTGAAGGAACAATAATAATAAATTCAGTATAAATATGTATTCAGATGTTAGAGAAGGTCACAATAAATGTGGGTATTGTTTTAAAAAGTGTTTAGAATTGAATGCATGCTGTGGCCCTTGGTTCCAATAACAGGCATGCTTCTTCTTAAGGATCTTATTTCATAAATGTTAATAACAGAATTTTGTATTTCAAAAATGTATACTTTACAAGTGTGAATGTTCAAACTTGGGCCAGATGATTTCCTATGTGGTCATTGACTTTTAAAATGCCATGTTAAAGAACCAAATACCATCTTAACTTGTAATTATATAGCCAATCACAATCAATGTACTAATCACTATTAGAAAATCTAATACTTCCTCTTCAAAATGTTATCCTGATCATTAACATAATCAATATTGCATGTAGCTGTAACAACTAATAATAATGGAAAGACATTTAACACTTGTGGAGCACTCTTCCTTCAGATTCAGTACAAATATTTGCCACTTGAACAGAAGCTGTAGTGGTTTTGACTTTTTATTTTTATTTTTGTTTATTTTCGAAAAGCTTAAGTATCCCCTGGTCTGTCCCTACCCAGGAAAAAAAAGTGAGGCATATGGAGGAAAATCAAACCTGCTATGTTACTTTATCCTCCTCTTGTGTTCCAGCATAGTTCCTGGCTAAGTCGTTATTTATGCTTCTCTGAACTGAAACATGATTTTTATTTATTTATGTATGTATTTATTTGGCACTTTATCAGCCCTTGGATTTGTCAAGCAGAATAAGTGCGGCAGATACATTTTAATTAAACTCATGAAATGATATCCTTATTCTCTTCATGGCTAGCATCCTGTTCCAGATCTAGCCCCTGCTGAGGGAAGTCTCTACAGACAGATGATGTGTTGTGTCCTGCTCACAGACTTGGCTGGAAAGCTCACACTGAAGTCAACAGCAGCATTTTCCTCTTGGATCTAGCCTAAAATGTGTCAGTGCCTGAGTATTATTTCACTCAGCATTTGAGAATCACTTAGGATGACATTTTGTTTGTATACAGATATTAAAATTAAATATTTTCCTGATGCTGGACTTGCACACTGAAGTCACCATTTCCTTCAGTAAGATGGTATCTGCTATTACCATGTGAACAGAATCCTAAAATCCATTCATGGGATTAAATAGCACATATCTGTAGGTAGCATTATGTTTATTAGATTTTTCTCAGTTAATGTATTTTCCCCTCTCTTTCCTGTTGATTACTGTGGAGTGGAAAATGTGCTGATTCAACACCCATTCATGTAATGGTTGTTATACTCCCTGATACTGTAATTGGCCAAATAATTAAGTTATGCTTGCTACAGAAATACAACAGGCCAAAACCGTCTGAGAATTTAGCATTAAGGTTGCAAGAAAATAGCTGTGAAATGAGGTTTCTTTCAGTGATGTATACCTACCTTCTGCAACACCAAGTTCTCTGAAAGTGCACTGTGCTTTGAGAACTGGAAGGCAAGTGAGGGACTGCAGAGTACATTTGCTTCAGGACTGCTAAAAGCCAGGGTGAGGTGAGAGCGTCCTTGGTCCAGGGAGGTGGGATAGCCCAGCATCTCTTCGCTGTGATGGCTCGTCATTTTGGGCAGTGTATTTACACACATGAGGCAGAGACTTTAGAGACCACTTGCACATCAGTAATCCTGGAACCAGGGTGATGGAGAAACAGTACATTTGGATTAGCAACCAAAAGGCACAAGGATTTAGAGAACTTGGAATATTTTTCTACTTTTTTTTTTCCCTCTCCCCTGCCGATCTCAAATAAATTCAGTGATGCCATGAATCATTTCAATTCATTTCAGTTTCAAATGTTAGGGTGCTACTATCCAAAGCATCTCTAAAACTTGAACAGTAAAAAGAGAGCTAGAAACATATCTGGTGCCTCTGATACAAGCATTCCTGTAAGATTTCCTATAGTTTCTCTTAGGACTTTTTGTGCTAATGGCTGAAGGATGTAAAACTTCTATTTAACCATTTCAAGATGTAATAAAATTCTGGCTAAAGTCTGATTCCACACAAGAGAAACTCCACAGAATATTTCTCACATTTCCTGATTTATTTTCTTTATCCTTATTATTTCAGCATCTTAATTTTTCTCATGAACACCATGAGTATGAGAATACTAAGGTATTGCTGGATACCTTTTGGAGGTACCAAGAGGGAAAATGATGGTCTAGGATATTTACCTAGTGTAACTTTGTTACTTATTTTTCAACAGATTCAACAGTAAGCTGGGAGAACCCTAGGAGAATGCAGAGAATGCTTTGCTACATGGAAAGGAATCCACAAGAAGGAAAACCCCCAAATAGCCTCACCAGACTTTGGATCAGGCCCATGAAAATGCATGTGCTTTGGACAACGATCAAAGAAGGGGCAAAATGAATCACCTCTATTTCTGCAGAAAGGTGGGTGAGGCACTTTTTTTTTTTTTTTTTTTTTTTTTTTTGTATAGGCAGCAAATGTTTCACTTATCTGTACTGTTGACTGGGTGGGGAAAAACAAAACAAAAAAAAAACCAAAAAGGCCTGGACTGTGGCATTCAACTCTGTGACTATGTTTGCCTGATGCTTTAGGTTAGACTCACTACCTAACAATTCAGTCTCGTATTGCTGTGTCCCCTGCAAATAATTCAAGCCTTGTTGTATTGGGTGTAACAGCTGTAATAATAGAGTCCCTTCAAACCGCTCAATTGCAGATGATGACCGTGATTAAGTGAATGCAATAGAAGAGATGAAGCGACTTACCAAAGATAGTAACATCAGATATAGACACCAGGTCTCCTGGCTCCCAGCTGCCAGTGCTACTAACCAGGCATCATATGGTAAACGTCAATCATGCAGGCAGGGGTAATGGATGGTGTAAATTAAATGGCTGCAAGAAAGAAATTTTCATGCTGAATTTGCATAGTCTTGAGGACAAACAATTGACAACAAAATAGGCCATCGCATCCCCGGTGTCAGACACTTTAAAGTTGGAAGATTGTTAAATCGCTGTGCCTGACTTGTTGAACATGCTTGCAGCCTTTCAAGGAGGTAACACAGTCCCTATTTATAAGTTGGTTGTAACTTCTGTTCAGGTTTAGACATTCACCTAGTCACCCCAGCATTGTGTTTTCTGTTTGGATCAAAGCAGAATCTCTGTGCCTTCCTATAGAGACCACCAATTCCACCATCTCTTTTGTGCATGGACATTTTAAGGAGTGTTACTCTCTTGTCTGTGAGTGGAGAGCAGAGCAATGTTGAAATCCAAGCTAGCTTTGCAAGCAGTGGCTGTGTTGCGAGTTAAATCATGGTTCTCTTTGTGCCTTGGAGAAAAACCCTGAGTATACCACTATCGGTGCCCTTCTGCCTAAAGGCGATAGATAAGGCTTGTCTATTTCCCTCAGTTGCTCCCTGTCTACACAGCAGCAGTATTTGGACCATTTTGGCTTTGTGGCCAGCGATCAGGCTGAGTTGCAGGAGCTATGTGGGCAAGCAGGCAGTAAGGAAATGGAAGTCAGATTTAGAGGGAGATACCTGCAAGCATTAAAGAGCGAGTCATTCTGATGAAAGAGTTAAAGGGTCTTGTATCAAGAGCTGTGCTTGGTTAGTGGGGAGACAGCCACACTGAGCATTGCCTAGGTCTTGTTTTTGTCTTGTACTGAACTGTCAGGCTCTGTGGATGAAACCCTGACCTCAGTAAAGTCAGAGTTTTTTTTGCCAAAAACTGAAAAATACCCAGACCTGTATGTTATACCAGTACAGCAACCAGTGCCAAATGTCTATATCTGCCTGCAAGACCTGTAACTGAAAAATTACAGAGCCTCAGTGGCCAGGCTGTACTTAAGAGGAGGTGCAGCAGCAGCAGGCTGGCAGGAAGGAGCAGGCAGGGCAGGGCGCTGTGTGAAGTGCTCCCACAACACTCCCCACAGCTTTTCCTGCTCCTCGGCTCAGCAGAGGCTCTGTCTCCAAAACAGTGCATCTACCACCATCCATCAAAATCCCTCTTGCTTTCTGCCTGGGCGTGAAAAGCCCTGAAAAGTTTCTCTTAGGAACTTAACTTATTTATTACCTTTCAAGATGTTGTTTTTGTTTTTGTTTTTGTTTTTTTATTATTCAGTTAAATACAGGTAATAAGTAATCTCTCTACAGCAAGGAAGAAAAAAAGAAAGGCACTCCAGCTGCCTGGAAATACTGAGGAGTAAAAAGAACTGAAAGTGTTTTCTTAAATTGCATTCGTGGCAATGGATCCTTGTGCATACTATCATGGGTAACATAATGCAAATTGCCAAGGCTGACTAAGCTGCTGTAGAGCCAGAAGCTTTTTTGCTTTCAAACCTCAAGTGAAATGGAGATTGATCTCAGCTCCCAGCTTAGTGGTTAAACAGATTTTGCCAGTCTATGTTTCTTATCAAATCAAAATAAAAATGACACTTTCCTTTATAATAATATAGAAATGTAAATATACATATAAACTTGGAATATAATAAAATTAATTACCCTAAATTGGTACGTAATACCAAGTAAATACATAAGGAAACAAAATCATTAATTGATTGGGCTTCTTATTATAATGAAACTGTTTGCAAGGATTAACAGCTCCTTTCTGATACACTGAACTCTGCCATGATGTTTACATTTCCATATATTTTTAATGATCACATAGTTTACCATTTGAATAAAACAGCACCATATGCTTTAGCTGTATTAAATACTGCAAACATTGAACACTAAATATGGAATAAATTATCATGTAAAGATATTTAATACTGGCAAGTCCCTCTAATATGCCACATCAGTTTAGTTTTAATAAGCCAGGACTCTGCTAAAATTAAATGCCTCTTTTTATTAACTATAAAGTAAAAATGTTTAATAGGAATGCTGGAATGGAGCATAGGCTGGACACAAATGTTTTCATTTTGTTTAAAACAGAGAAAGAACATTTATATTTTCTGAAACAAATAGAAGCATTTTCATGACTTGTTTTTTTCTAGTTTTTTTGTTGTTTTTTTTTTTTCAAGTGCAAGTGGAAAATTATTTTATTTAGAACTGCTTTCAGAGCAAGGAATGGAACTGTGCAATAATAAATGCACCAAAGACTGGCTGTAATTTGACAGCTAGGATGGGCTCTGTAGTTTCACTGAAGGGTCATGAGTATACCACTGGAAAGGGAGGGGAAAGCCAGTTTCTTCAACAGCAGCCCATATATATGGGATGTATTTTTCTGGTGTAATAATTTAACGGTATGTAGTCATTTTGATTTTAGAATGACCCAACACAGCCTAGAAACAATTTTCAGTATGTGACCAGGAGACTTGCATGCTTACCATACTTTGAGGACAGACCTTAGTGGAAAACTATCTAGCTTGCCTTCCTCTGTCGATGAAAGGAGTTCTCTCTGAGTCTCCTGGCTGTTCTGGCTCCACCCGTGGAGTATCTTAGAGGGGCTGCTCCTAGTAGTAAATAAGAAAATCTGGGGCTCTGCTCATTCTCTTCTGAAACTACCAAGTGGACCTTGACACCAAATATGTCTTTCAAAGAAATGACATTTAACCAAAAGCTTGATCTGTAATGGGATACTATCTAAATCCTATAATGGAACTAATTTACCAGATTGGTTTGGAGGCATATTAAGGCAATATAGGAACCATGGTCTGCATCGCTGATAATGTTATCTATGCACTTGCTAGTCCATTAGCAGAGTGATTCATCTGAGAGCAGCAAAGGGCCAGACCACTCTCCCAAACATGCAAACATCTAGAGAAAATAGATCACAGAAGCAACTAAGCAGCTGTTCCCTTTCCTGCCATACCTGCTACTGGTGTATGATGGAGCAAATGGCCATTAGGGCTCATACTTTTAACAAGATTGCATGTGCCTCTTTGAAAAATGTCATTTGAGATGGATGTGTTTTCCTAGCAGATATTACATGTAGCTGCAGTCCCTGAGCTTGCTGTTCAATTAGGGACAAATCTCAAACAAAATACACAGCTGTGAACTACTGAACTTAACCTGGCATTAGCCAGCATTAGAAAGGCATGCTCTGATAACTTCAGCAGGCGGAGGAGGTTATTTAAGGGAATGTATTCTCTGTCTCATATAATCACTGAGATTATTTCTCGCTATCTCTTCCTTCTCCTCCCCACCCAGAACTAGACTGCAGCTGCAGAAACACCAGCTGCGTTGGCAGGGGTAGGCACAGCTTCAGGCATGGGACTGCTGGGGGTTGCAGGGTGCAGCGGGCCCCCCTGCAGCCTAAAAGGGCTGTGCTGAGGTGGGGAGCGGGGTCATCGGCTGTGCCACCACCTTCCACGCCAGACTAGCATGCAGTTACAAGGTCGGTGTGCTTGCAGTTCAGCAGCAGCTCTGGTTAAGAGACTGGTTTCTTTCCGTGCCTGGATTATAACCAATTGTGTCAGAGCAATATGAATTTCTGTGTAATACAGTAAACAGGCTCAGTTTGTTTGGAGAGACAACTTTTTAAAGGTACAGTCAGAAATAAGAACAGCTCATCAGCCTGAGCATATCATAAAATTCCACTTCAAATAAGTATAAGCAGCAATGCCCAAATAATCCCTAAGTGCCTGTAATTTATTGAGTCCCCCCAGGTATCAGCATCACTATGGTCAGGTAGCGATAAGTGGATTAGTTCTGGATATGAGCATCTGAACTTATATTTCACTGCTCAAATTCATACCTACTGAATTTGAGCCTATCATCATGTTGTAGGGCCCAGATATCTAAATTTGCTATGGTTTAACCTGTCCAAGCTATTTGAGGTGAAATAACTTGCAGGGATACAGATGTTCTCTGTATCTGATGGGGAGGGGGAGCCTCCTCTAATCTCCTGGCAATATCACTGTTCATATCTGTTTATTTCCAAATAGAGGGAAACTGCCTCATTTGGCATGGTCAGTGCTGACTCTCACATTAATTGGCTTTGTTCTGCCTGTCTCTATTTATCTGTGTGTCCCCAGTTACTTTGACACCAGCTCCAACAGCATAGGCAGTTTAGCTTTCCGCTTTTCACTGAGGAAAAGAGATGACAAGAAGCCTTTATCAGTGTTGTTCCACAGCAACATCAAATGCATATGTGAGTCCAACACGGTGTTCAGCATTGCTTGACATGGTTTTCTACCAATCACTTAGATGGCTGACATTGAGACTTTTATTTTTCTTTTTCCTGTTAAAAATATGTATTTATTAAATGTAGGCATATCATTGGCTATTACTACATTGAGAAGATGACATTTGGATAGCATAGGTATTCTTAGTCTCTGTTTTTGTCTTAGCATCTTCAAGTAATGCTTTCTCTTCACTCTGAAAATAACAGCAAGGGGTAGGTGCCTCCACCAAAACAAAAAAATCTCTGCCCAGTTTGATCCAGAGGACGGTTTCGCTTAACCACCACACAGATCCTTTTCACT